AAAGGAACTTAGATAAAAAGGAACTTAGATAAAAAGGAACTTAGATCAAAAGGACATTAGAACAAAAGAATTGCTTTAGATGAAAAACGTTAGAAGAAGTGGACAGGGGCAAAAAAAGGATTAGAACAAAAAAGCTTGGATGAAACGGAATAACCCCGACATGCTATGGTCGACACTTGCAGGCATCGGACACTGTGTGGTCGACACTCGCAAACGTACGACAAACTGGTCTACGCCTTAAAGTGGCGACCTGTCCTACACTTGGATTTGCAGTGTAGTTCTCTTCCTTTGCCCACGCCCCTGGTTTTTCTGAGGTTTGTTCCGGTTTGTTCGGCCTGATGTGCTCCTTGCTAGACTTGCACTGGGGGTAAAGTATGTAATTTTTATATTTTTTTGAAATTGTACTTTAGTTGTTTATAACATGATGTTCCGGTTATTTTGCTTTGCAGGCAAGGTATAAACTCTCTGAAATCAGAAGCTGAATCGCATGGTACTGGACTCTATTGTGCTTGCTCTCTCTAGTTTGATTTGTGGTGGTGGTTTGTGGTTTGGGAGCTTAGCGTACCTGTAGACTGCTGCGGGAACAACTTCACTGTGAGAAAAAGGTACGGTTTTTGCCGTTAATTTATGAACGGGATATGCTGTACTTGGAAGTACGGTGTTAACCGTACCAGTAGATACGTTGTTTACCGGGAAGTACGGTGTTTACCGTACCTGGAAGTACGGTGTTTACCGTACCTGGAAGTACGGCGTTTACCGTACTTGTGCAGTGCCCTAACTGAGAGACACCATTTCTTTACAGCAAAATCCATCTGGACGAGTTTAAACACTCACTCAAAGTCCTGGGTATGGTATCCCTTGCTGCATCTTGACAATGCAGTGTTCAAACTACGGTAAACGCTGCACTTCTAAGAACGGCAAATCCCGTTTATTGATTGACAGCGATAACCGTACCTTCTTCTCAGAGTGTTGCTGCCTGCAATCGAAAGTGACTCCACTGTGACTGTGATTCCAGGTGATTCTGCCCCCGCTGTTGGCCCCCGCATCGCCGTCAGGAGCGACTTCCGTCTCGACCGCTTCGGGCCGCGCGGCCCGCTGCTGCTGGCCGATCCCGCCGGCGCCGACCGCCTCGACGAAGTCGCCCCTGCAGACCGCAGCAGCGCGCTCATGTTGCCAGCGTCTGCCCCCGAGCCCACCGGCCACCCCGACGAAATCGCCCAAGAAGTCGTCCCCAGCACTAAGGACATCAGCATCCCGCTGATGTTGCCCGCGTCCGCCCCCGAGCCCACCGGCCATCTCGACGAAGCGGCCCTCAGCACTGAGGACATCAGCGTCCTGCTGATGTTGCCTGCGTCTGTCCCCGAGCCCACCGGCACCGGCCACCTCGACGAAGCCGCCCAAGAAGTCGTCCCCAGCACTGCGGACCGCGGCAGCCCGCTGATGTTGCCCGCGTCCGCCTCAAGGCTCACCGGACACCTCCACGAAGCAGCCCCCAGCACTGAGGACACCAACATCCCGCTCATTTTGCCCGCGTCCTCCCCCGAGCCCACCGACCACCCCGACGATGCGGCCCCCAGCACTGAGGACATCAGCATCCTGCTGGAGTTGCCGGCGTCCGCCCCCGAGCCCACCGGACACCTCCGCGAAGCCGCCCCCACAACTGAGGACATCAGCGTCCTGCTGATTTTACCCGCGTCCGTCCCCGAGCCCACTGCACACCTCGGCGAAGCCGCCCCCAGCACTGAGGACTTCAGTATCCCGCTCATGTTGCCCGCGTCCGCCCCCGAGCCCACCGAACACCTCCGCGAAGCCGCCCCCAGCGCTGAGGACATCAGTATCCTGCTGGAGTTGCCCGCGTCTGTCCCCGGGCCCAGCGGCACCGACCGCCTCGACGAAGCCGGCCCCAGCTCTGCGGACCGCAGTATCCCTCCGACTCTGGGATGGTGCGTTTCCCACGGGTGCGATGCTTCGTTCAGCTCCTGGGAGGACCATGTCGAGCATTACGTTAGCCAGCACTTGCGAAAGCACCGCTCGCTGGTGTGCCACTTTTGTCTGCAGTCGTTCGGTAACTCGAAGAATGCTGAGAAACATATCAAAGGTCACTCCTCCAGAGTAAACTTGCGCTGTCCTTGCACAAGGTGTTCGGCGCGATTTTTCGTTGCGAAGATGCTGGAGGAGCACATGAGGGTGTTCCACAGGCAGCCTTGAAGTTCGCGAGGACGGAGTATGGACTGTAACGTTCGTTCCTCGTCGCATTGCTGCACTGAAGCAGCAAGAAA